CTAGCTGTAACATATTCTGTGCTACATATGTGTACACGATACAAACACTAATTGCACAGGACTGTACTTAACCCAGAAGTACAAGTAATGGGTTAAACACAGAGAGTTTTAAAGAGGTTCGGCTATACAATAGAGGATAATTAGGTATCCATAATAAGGCAGCTTAATAGTATAGTAAATGGCATTCCCCCCACACAGGGTGTAATTAGTTTCATGTACTTGACACATCCATAGTAGATGTCAGACTGGAAGGTTTTTTTTCAAATCCAGTTTTTAGTTTGAACGGCTTCGTCTGTGCATCTTTCTGTACTTTTGAGGATTACAAGCCATAGCTCTGGGATCAGGTTCACCATGTACAGTTTTACTTTTCAATTGATTAAATGTTGCTTACCAAAGCACTTGCTCAGATTGGTCTGTTTATCAATGAAGACTTTAGCAGAGATAACATTCCCAAAGGGCATGAACATCTGCAGAATGTCCTGGTCTCCAAACTCCTGGGGGAGGTGGTAAATAAAGAGGTTTGCCCCTTCTGGACCTTTAGAGACAGGAAAACCACAAAAAAAAACCAGTATGAAAAGAGCTATTAGAAGAGTTCTATTTCATCTATCTTTTTTGGTAATTTAGAAGGTGATGGGCAAACACAGTTCAGTTTCAGACTTTTTGAAGTAACAAAAACAAAGCAAATGGACAAAATAGCAGTGGCTTTTATAGATTTGTACTTGATACCTCTATTATAAGAGACGCTGAACTGCAGCCTCCTTCCTAAACTCACGTAAGACTGCCAAGCTTGTCCTAAAGTAGGGTTATGGTTAGAAGAGTGACTGCATGAAAGTGGCATGTCTTCTTACGACAACTCTGCTCTCTGCGTCTCTTCAGGCTGTCCAGCTCTGGAAGAGCGAGTTGAGTTCTATGCTGCCTCACACATCTTTTGTCAGCTAAACCAGAGACATTATTAGCGTAAGAGATAGAGCCCAGCTCAGTTCTAAAGATCCCATGTTTAAGCCTGCAGGGCAGGCAATTGGGGGTAGGGGAAGTAAAACAAACCTTCCTTTGACTTACAAACTGAGCTGGCAAAAATAAATAAATAAATAAAAATAACTGAGGGATAAAAAAAAAAAGAAAAGGAATGCTCATAATAAAATGTGTAGTCATTTTTCACAGTACACGTGTTGTTTTAACAACAAAGAATCCGGTTAGAAAGCCCTCACCACCTGGCAGGGAACTCTGTCAAAAGAAGAGCTGGTCAAGATTTTTAACTGATTTTTTTCCCCCCAACAACAACAAAAATGAATTTTCCTTGAAATGGAAGTGTTTTGGAAAATCTTTTTGAGTTCTATGAAATTTCATATGAAAATATCCATTTCGTTTTTAACTGGAATTTTTTTTCTTTCAAACTGAGTTTTGTATTGGTTTTTGAAAGCCAGTTAACAGAAATAAAATTGATTTTTTTACTGAGCTCTAGTCAGAAGTTTCTCATCATCAACTCTGCCTCCCTATTACCATAATAATCTGGAAATGAAAAGAAGAGACTAAAGAAGACTTTCCAGTGTGAAACTGGACATGTGGCCTTCCTAGTCACAGAGCATCACGGGGATTCTAAGATGCCACACAATTCTGGTGCAGGCAGCTTCTGGAGTAGACTAAATGGATATTCCCTGGCTTGAGTGGAGACTAGATGTGTCGCAGATGTGCTGCGTTTCATTACTGTCTAGGGGAGGAGAGGAAAGTGCAGGCCAGACACTTATGGAGTACCTTCTGCAGCAGATTCATGGAGCCGCACTGGTGTTCACAATAGAGGAACCAGACTGCCTGCCCTCTCACAGCCTGAGGGGAGGGGCTGCAATATTTGCCCTAGACAGGGGGTGCATGGGTTGGAAGAAAACAAAAAACAAAACAAAAAAACCAACAACAAAACAACAGGGTGAAAAAAAAAGAATTTTATAAAATGAAATGGAAAAAAAATCACCTGGCAATATGGAAGAGAAGTCAAATGAAGTTTCTTCTTAACAAAAAAAAAAAGTCCTCTCAACAAAATGAACTTTCTTAATCACTGAGCAAAACTGGTTTAACATAGATTGATAGCAGTATGCATAAAACAATTTACCCCATTTCATTTAACGTTTAATGCAATATTTTCCTCTGGTAGCTGGTTATCCTCCTCTAAATATTCCAGACTCCTAGCCATTCCATCAGAAGTCATATGTTGAAACACAAACACAGCCAGCAGAATTTAATAATGAAACTCGCTCACCTTAACAGTCCCCCACTGGAAAAGACAGCAAGATGACAAAGGCCTTTACTTTATAAGGGACACTGTCACATGGGGAATGATAAAATGTACTATTGATAAAAATGCTTTTGTGAACTTAAAAACAATGAAGATAATTTAAAAAAAATAAAAGCTAGTCCTACACTATTTGCCACCCAGTCACAACAGAGAATCAGCTTCGGTTTATGGTTTTATCCAATCTGAATGAAATGGAAATCAAAAACACAAAAAACAATCGAACAAAGCCAGGGAGCCAAAATAGTGAGAAAAATAAATGAATTTTAAAAAATTATTTCAACTTCAATCATCTAAATTGTTAATGGTAAGAAAATTATTAAATACATATTTATTTTAATTTGACAGTGTCCCTATTAAATCCCTAGCGTTGAGGGTTTCAACATTGTCTGCCTAAGAGACACCACGTTCCATAACGATTCAAGAGACTATTTTAAAAGAGGATAAAAAACTTCTTTTGATGCCATTCACTAGCCCTTGTTCCAGTGTATCTCTGGCAAGAACAGTAAGTATAATGACGACTCTTTCTTAGAAGGCATACAAAACTTTTCTAACTTCTAAAATTAGCGGAAAGTTAAGGGGGTGGGAATTAAAAACAAAACCCCAAGAAGGCTGCCGGGGGAGAGAAGAGAGAGAGACTATCCTCATTTCGCTAAACATTTTGTGATTAGTATTAATTTATTCTTAGCGTTAACTTCCTGAGGTTTATTTTGCTCTGTTGGCACAAAAAGAGGGGCAACCAATCACTTACTTGCTTCCCCTCAAGACCCACAATTAAACAAAGAACCACTCGATGTAACGACGGATCTCGTCATTAACCTGAAAACTAAAATCTAATAGCAGCTAGATGATCATAGCATACATAGAAACCACAAGGAGGAGAGGAAAGGGGAGAGTTACCCACCTTCCAACAACAACAAATGTATATATATATATATAATTAAAAAAATGCTTTTAGGATGGTTTTCATTAGCAGTGTCTTTTGTAAGCAGCAGCCAATGAGTACTTTTACATTAACAAACAATGGGTGGTAAAATACACCTCGAAGGATAGATGGCAAAAACTAAATTAAAGGATAAAACAAAAACAACACTGAACAGGAAAGAAGAAAAGGTTAAAAATCAGTGGTTAGGCTCATCACGTTTCTTCAGAAAGCATCTATGAAGACATAAGCGAAACCCAACCAATGTAGAAAGGCTGAATTTAGCTTATCGTAACATTTGATATTGCTGCTTGAGACGTGTGCTTGGCGGCCCTAGCAGGTGCTGCTTACCTTCTTTCTGGCTGCCCGCAGCACTTTGTTGCTGTAACAAACTCTGACTGTACAATGTGGGCAGCGCTGCTGCAGCATACTGCTGAATTCCTGAGTAGGCCTGGGTGAGGGCGTCCATTGTGCCTGCTGTACCGTTCGTCAAGCCTGTTGCGCCAAGTCCTCCATTCAGGGCCGCCATACCTGAGAGCATTTGAGCAACTTTACAAAAAACCCAACAATAGAGAAAAGAAATTGCACTTGTTCATTAGTGCTTTCCAAAAGTAGTTGGCATTACATGACACCAACAATGACGGCAGGGCATGCAAGCCAGCACTTCACCAAATGGAACTGAAAACAACGAAACACAACTTCAGTAAAGATCACTTCGGCACAATGGTTTGATGACCAAATCTATTCACATGCAATCTGCTACTGGCAAGTACTGTAACACCGTGCTTCTGAAATTCTGTTCTTCCACGTGCCCCAAGACACACACATCGGGCTACATGATCGTGAGGCTATCCAAAGACTGTAGAAAGAAATTCACTTGATCAAGGGTGGATTCCTTGTGGTATTGGCAATGGGACAGAGTGTTCACTGGGACACAGTTCAAATCCAGACTGGTCATTAGTGACTGGAAATTACTACCATATGAATGAAGTTTGCCAATTAATTTTACATAGGCCACCAATCTCAGTTACCCACATTCCAAAACCACCACCACTACAGTTGGCACCCTTCTGTGCATTGCAGAACATGGGCAAGGTAACTGGCTATCCTCTCACTCCTGGTATCTCCTGATCAGGGCTGGGAAGCATTGGCGGTGTGGTGTAGGGTAGCTAGCAGTGCTGCAATCTAAGCTGTGCCTGTCTTGCTGATAAAGAGAAATCTTTGGTCTCTAGTGTTGTCATTCCCTCGCTTCTTATTGGCAGTAACATCACTTTATAAACACTGGTCTGCACCCTGCTAAATAGCATATTAACTTAACTGGGATGACTGCCAGGGAGGATGTTCAGGGCAAGGACTCTAAGCTATGGATAAATGGCAGACCCAATCCATTTATATGGCACTGTCTGTGATGAGAGTTTTATATCTCTGAATTGATGGTTGACAGCAAAAACTTCTTGTGGCGCAGCCTTCTATGCCACTTCTTTTTCCTATTATAGTTGTTAAATGTGCCACCTGTGTCTTCAAGTGCTACAGTGAAAAGTTTTAATATTAATTTTTACAGCAATTCGTGGAAAAAAAGTGAATTTTCTCCCTACATTTAGATATAGGCCCTGCAGTACTGGAAAGGGCAGCAGATTGGAACAAATTGAAAGAAGAGCAGTAAAATGATTAAAAGAACTAAGGGCTTGGATTTTCAGAAGAGCTGATGACCCATACTTCCAACCAAAGGCAATGGGAGCTGCAGGGACTCAGCAAAATTGAAAATCTGGCCAGATTTCAAAAGTGACTAGTGAACTTGTGTGCCTGAATTTATGGGTGCCTAACTTGAGGGAATTTCAATGGGACATGATTTTCAGAGACTGCTGAGCACCTGCCCTCTGAAAATCAGACCCCCTCTTCAAGGTGTCTCCAGTTGGGCACATAAAAATGGAAACATCCAAAATCACTAGTTACTGTTGAAAATTTAGGCTATGATGCGTAGATAGTAGCTTGGCAAAATGATGACTAAGGTGGGGCCGGGGGACATGTTAAATACCAACGGTGGCAAACTCAAAGGAAGGGAGAGAGGAATTATTTGGAGTCGGAATAAGGGGGCATGTATGTTGGAGAAAGGTGAGGAAGTTAAGCTGAGCACAATTTAGGGCAACGGTTTGAAAAAAATTAACCATTAAATCTATTAGACTGTGCAACAGTCTTCTCCAAGGAAAGTGGCAGAAACCCTATCATATGAGTAATTTAAAGATGGACTGGCACTAAGAAGTGTACGGCGGGAAGCAATCCTGCCTTGATAGAGAACGATGAAGAGGATTACTGAATAGCTCTTTTCCATCTCAAATGTATTGATCCTAGCACAGTGTATTCCTATGAGCTTCTGATAACCATGGCCATTGTTCAAGTGGCACCTTCTTGCTTTTCACTAGGGTCTATGCCAATTAGGAGGATTCTACTATATAAATTATACCCTTTGATATTAGCATAATTTGTGTAACATTAACACTGGACAGAGATGCGATATCCCGCCATCTCTGTTTAGTAAAATGTCTTGCACTTGGAAGTTTTAGAACTGGGAGGGCGGCAGAGGGAGGAAAGGACGCTGATGTGGTGGATGCCAACCCACCACATCACAAAAACGAAAGAGCCAAGCCTGTTTTGGAACACAAAATAGCCAGATTTTTTTTGGTAAGCGGGGCTGAATAAGTGTAAGAAAAACCTCATTATCAATAATGAGACACCAATATACCTCTATGAAATGTTTTCCATCCAAGAGGAAGAGCTTTTGAAAATAAGGATTCAGCACAGCAATTGTGTTAAAATAATGGGTTCGTGCTGGTTAATCAGCTCCTGCCACTCCAGCCCCAATCAAGCCTGTTGTAGGCAAAGTAGCTGTGAAACCTGTATATAGTTGGGAACTGGTGGTGGGAAACCTTTTGAGAATAAAGAGCTCGGGTGTTGCACCAGACTGAAATGTCCCTGACTCATTGAAGAGGGAGGCCCAGGGGCCAAATACTTACGGGCGCAGCGTGAACCCCATTACAGTTTGGTATTGAAATCTAACTGCAACCCTACCAAGAGATCTGAATATTGTTTTCTGCCATTGCTTGTGTGTGTGTGTGTGTGTGTGTGTGTGTGTGTGTGTGTGTGTGTGTGTGTGTGTGTGTGT